TCCCCCTCCCCTTCCGCCACCGCCGCCCCCTCTCCCATACCCATCCCCGCCGTAACCCCGCCCCCCACCGCCCCCTCTCCCATACCCATCCCCGCCGTAACCCCGCCCCCCACCGCCCCCTCTCCCATACCCCTCCCCGCCGTAACCCCGCCCCCCACCGCCCCTCCCAGCCCCCCCTCCTGCATCGTTGTTGTTGTTATTGCTGCCGGAGAGTTGTGCGGAAGCGGCCATGCCTGGACCGCTCTTGGTGGGAGCCTTGGTTTGGCTTTCTTCTGCCATGGCCTGCAAGACGAGAGGAGTATTATAGGAAGTGACGGAAATGGAGGTGGATCGCTCTGGTTGTCTGAATGTACTAGTGATCCCTCCGGAGTCGGCTGGCTCATGAGAGCACAGCAGTGTCATGAAGGGGTGATGTAAGATGAAAGTAACAAATAGCAGGCAGCAGGACCACAACCAGTCACAAAGTACCTCGTGCAAAATCAATTTGTACACTCCAGTCCTGCGCAAAAAAACTGCTGGCGTGGCCGACAAACGATAGACCGCCACATCCCAGTACCATGCCCATACCGACCGCACACACTGTCAAGACAACCGATACGCAACATACCTGTCTGTTCTGCAGCGCCCTGATCTGCAAGGCCCACTCCTTCTGGTGGTGCGAGTAGTTGGCGGTCAACGAACCCGAAAGCGAGGACGAAGCTCCGGGAGCGTTTCGTCGAGCCGCTCGGACCGACTCCATCTTATCCCTCGCCGCCAGGGTGTCTTCCATGTTCCTGTACAGAGCGGTAGTGGGGAGGGGACATATTGTTGCTCGCCTTCGCCAATTGGTCTTTGGACTACGAGTACTTTCCACATGAAGTTGTTCCTACCAGGGGGCACCGCACACTTGGCCGGGGGGGGGGGGGGGCACCGCGAGTCCCACGATTGCTACGCTAGTGAGGGTCCTTCAAAAAAGGCCGGCTGAGTAATTAGTGCCGCAGGCCCGGCAAAAACTGTTGTAAAGGGGGGGGCCCGTATGGAAAATTCCGGGGCCCGGAAGGAAAATTCAGGGGGGGTTATTCCCCAATTAATGCCCCCTGGGGGAAACAAGGCCGGCGAAGAAATCGGGGGGAGGCAGTACGCAGGGCGCAACTGTGATATACAAATCTCCTCACGCTCTGGTCTTCTTTTGAGATTTTGCATTCTGTCATGGTAGGGGGAAGGGGGACACTACTTGCGCGGCCGTGAAAACTGCAGAACTGAGATATTTCAGCGTATCACCCAACGTTAACGTTAACGCTAGGCGTTTTTGGCAGGCTGTTTCCCAAGCGACACACGCGTGAAGGATTATACACTTGGCTCAATCACTGTTCATGAAAGTAACAGACACCTCATACACGACGACTCTCGATAGTACTACGTCACCAGTAGATTTCGTGAGGTTCTTGACAACAAACAACGAACGACATCTAACACCAAACTCATTTTCTAAATGCGCAATCCGATTCCGCTGCAAATGGTGGGGTGCCTGTCTCTCACTTGAGCTTGAACTCGATCGGCAGCGCGATCTCTGCGAGACCCGTGTTCCACGCAATCTGCGCTCCGCTCCCGACCTCTCCATCCATCTCATCTCCCCTGTTCGCTCCCGTGTCAAACTCGACCTTCGCTTCCTCCACCTGGGCAGGCGTTCGTTCAAGGCCCATTCATTCCAAGTCACGCGTGAAAACCACTACATGCTGTGAGCTCTCTAGTTGTAAATGAAGCTGAAAATTCGGCTATGCATACAAGAATGAAATGCCAACAAGGCAAGGGGACTACGGCGTCGCAAGCGGACGCGTCTAACCGGGAAAAATCACGGGAACACTCGTTCGATTAAGGTTCCAGACAAAATATCTTTCCCACGACACACGTTCCATGGGGAGCCCAACCTGTCGCTCAAACACCCCACCCGGTCGAATTTGAAAGAAAAAATTCCAGCTCCCCCCTCTTTTCGAGCCCGAACGTTGCTCAGTAGGGATACTCAAACTTTCTGAGCCATATGGTCCCCGCCGCCAACCGCAACGGCAACAACCCCGCCTCACCTTCTTCTTGAAGTCCTCGGGGATGGTGTACAGCCGGTCCTCCTCACTGAGCATGTTGTTGCTCCCCCCACCCCCGTCCTCTTCCTCCTTCGCGTCTGCCCCCTCCTCGCCGCCCATCTTGTCCTTCACGTACTGCTCCATGAGCTGCTCGTGCGGAACCGACCCCGCCGAATCCGCCGCCGCTCCCCACCCCCCGGTGCCGCCGGACTTGAAGGCGGACTCCATCATGGTGGAGATGTTGGGGGCTTTGACCTCCGGCTTTAGGCCGAAGGCGTCGTTCGCTGCCTCGTCCGCCGCCGCCCCCGTACCGTCGACACCTGTACCCGCCAAAACACGCACCGAAACAAGTAGTCAGCGACTGAGCAGCGGAGATTTGTGTAGGTTTCGAGAACGACCGCGCACGCAAAGACTCGACGGGCGGGTCCGTCTTTCGTAAAAAAATAAGCAGTAGAAGCGACTCGCTTGGTACAAGGGTTCTTCCCATGTAGACAACCATGAGCCGAGTTGCAGCCTGAATCAGGTTTGCCGCAGACATATTTAATTATCATAATTATAGCCCATGTGTGCGTTTTCGAGCCCCTTTCGGGGACGAAAGCGCCACGTACTTCATACCCTTCGACTTTCACACACGAGCAGGGGGGGCGTACTCATGCCTCGCATGCCTCAGCGGTTAGACCATTGACACGCGTCCTCGAGAAGACAGAGCAAGGTGGGGGGGGGGGGGGCTGCACGCACCTTGGCCCTTGATGACCAAGGCGTCCTTCTCCTTCGCTTGCCGCCGCCCTCCCATCAGGGCCGACACCGAGCGGCCGCCGCCTTTCCTCCTGGCCCGCTGCTCCTCTCGAAGGTCCGTCAGTAGGTCCAAGCGGCTCCCCTCCTCTTCCCCTTCGTCTTCCTCCTCCTCCCCGCCTGTCACAGGCCTCTTCTTCTGCGAGTCGTTCGGAAGAGGGTGATGCGTACTGTTGGCATGCGGGTGGTTGGCATTTCGAACAACTCTGTCAGAAGAACAACAGGTTCTTGGCTAGGAATCCTACATCTACAGTAGTGTCGTCGCTGTTGGATTGGGTTACCCCCCCCGCAGAGGAAACAGTAATCAAGCCTTCGTTGACAGGTGGCATCCGCAGCAGCGCAGATGTCAGTGCCAGCGATTGTGTGTGTGTATGTGTGTGTGTTCTGACCCCGCTTACCTTGTCCACGCTTTCCATATTTGTGCCGTCGCTCCCCGCCGATTTTTCCTCGGCCTCCTTATCTTTATCATCGCCGTCTTCGTTCCTTCTCGCTTCGCGTGTGGCGTCATCGTCGTTGTCGTCTTTTCCCGCGGGGGGGTTGGCCGATGCTTTCTCTGCTCCGCCTGGGTTTAGCGCGCGTCGCGAATACGGCGGCGCACGTCCAGATTTTTGACGTTGTGGCGAACGGCTTTCTTTGTGGTCGGCTGGAAGTCATTCGAACGTCATCCCCGGCATGATCAAGTCCGCTTGCTCTTGCTCCCGACGGGCGCCGTCGACAACAAATCAGGAATGTTACAATTCCACTTTGCTCCTCTATGTGTTGGTGATTTAGTCCATCTCACGAGCATGGTTGGACATCTACGAACACGACGCCTAGGTCATAGGCTCAAGGTTAGGAGGTCAGGAGTCAAAGTGGAGGCCATGGACTTGGGATCCTGGTGACGCACGAACCACAGATAACCATGCCATGTTGATATGTAGCGAGGTTCGTGGCGGGCTGTTACTGTAAGTTTTCTGCAGGTGTGCACCGCTTGCACCTTCACACGTACCATCATCAGGTTAGCTCTAAAGGCGTAAAACTGCTATTGTGTCAGCTCATCCGGGGCATCTCCCGTTTGGCGCACCTGCTGGGTCGTCACATGTTGCTACCGTATGCCTTTGCATACACACTGCTGTACGATACAAACAGTTTACAAGATTGCTTCCCCCGGTTATAGGTTTTGGCCTCCTTTCCTAAAGAACGGCATGTCACCGGGTGTGCAAAGGTGTGGTCTGGGGGGGGGGGGGGGTGGTATATTACGTCGCCCTTTCCGGTCTGACAGCAGCAGTGCTGTGTTTTGGGCTGGCTCAAGGTGACCTGGGAAAACCTAACCCCTGGGTGTAGTAGCGTGTGGGGTGCATGTTGTCATGTGTCGAACACGGTACACAGGTACGTGTAGCAGTCGATCGGATTAGCAGGTAACACTGATCTGATACTGCTGTACGCTGTTTACTACGACCTACTGCTGTGTTGAGGGCGAGAAACACGATCGGTGAGCTGTGCACAATGTTGTACGATGTGCCCACCTGGTTTGCCGCGCCTTCGAAAGTTCTTGCCACCTGCGGCGCGCTTCTTGAACGCCGGTCGCGGAGCAGAAGCCGAATCTCCGCTCTCCTTGCCGGCGACAGCTCCCGCATCCCTACCCCCCGCCATGCCTCTGCTGCGTGCGGTCCGGTAGACGGCCAAAAGGAAGACCCTTGGTATCGTGTGCCGGGCTCAAGATGGCAAAACACAATCCCTTAAGATCCGTTAAGCTCCACCACACCACGCACAACACACTCTCTCCTGTCTTACCAAGCTTGGGTGTTGCTTTGCATTAGTTTGTTAGCGTCAACCAACAGCAGAGAGCCGGGGTAACGGGGGGGGGGCACCAGCAGCGCTAACGCCGGCGATACTTGGGGGAGTCGTGTATCGAAAAACCTGTCTGTGCTGGTCTGTCTCCTGCTCTCTGTCGAATGTGATGCTGCGCGTGCCAAGTTAAGTAGGTGTGTTGTTCGACACGAGCGGGGCACACACGCGCACAGCGAGAGAACAAAGGGTCTGCGAAAGAAGCTGTACACGAGAGCCGTTGCTGTGCCTTGCCGTCGGTTGAGACGCTGGTCGCATGGTGGTTCTTCGTCAACGCTACCGACGAAACAACGGAAGCCAGCGCTGCGCGCCTACTTGCTGCTACTGCTGTGTGCACACATGGAAGGCCATCAACACCCACAGCAGTACTACGGCGGTGGCATGGCCGATGCTGGGACGACCACAGCGGAGCTGACCGCTGTAGCAGAAGATCTCGCTAAGACTTCTGCAAAGGTGTGTGCTGCGGTGTATGATCGTCTTGCTGTTCGTGCGTCGTCGGTCGCGCGCGCGAACGGGGCGTCGGTCGCAGTCAGACAGTCCCATCCCTTCTCCTTTCCCACAGCAGGAGAATCACTTACTTCTGCGCCGTAGATATGTAACATCCGAGCTGCCCAGACACACCGATGCCGGGATCAGAACCCCCATTGACCGAATGTTATTATATTACCATATTGGACAACCTGTTGCTGCTGTAATCGACTGACCTTTCGCGGGGTTCCTGGGGAAACGGGTTGTTGGCGTCTACGCGTTTTTTTTTTTTTAGCTGCTCGACGCGGAGTGTGTTGAAAACGCACGCGTTCAGAGTGGTCATGCTTACTGTACATGGATGAGGTGGTACAGATGTGCAGTCTACTGTAGCTGCCGTGCTCTCTCGTGCTCTATATCTCTCTCTTTCTGTCTCTCTCGTGCCTACTGCCTCTATTTTGAAAAACTGATGACTCAATCGCTCCCCTCCAGTGGCAGGGCCCCCATGTACAAGAGACATTGAGCTGACACATGTAAACCGTCCCGGTCTCCGCTCAGTACCTTCTAACGTCCGTACGAGTGCTTTGCATTATCACCGCATCCTGTTCATCCCCCTCTTTTTCTAGGAATCTTTGTGTAGCACCACACCCCACAGAAGCACTGCTGTGTTATTTGTTTACATGCCGAGCTGAGAGGAGAAAAAAAAAGTGATAAAGTTGATGTCCTCGTTGTGGAAGAATGTTCGACCCCCGCTCACGACAAGATTCCGATTCCTCCATTGGCTGGTCCTGTACCAGACTGGTGAAACGCGGCACGCGCATTACCCCTTCGAGTTGATTCGACAGCGCTTGGGTCCATATTTCCATACAAGAACCGATGTGTTGTTGTCTACATAGTAGTTAGTCCCCACCGACATTCCCGAGAAAACACAGCGTGTGTTTTGTGTTATCTAGCGTGGCCGCCTGTTGTGCACCATCGCCGACGTCGATATCCCGCCGCCGCCGTCCACAGATTGAAAGCGTGGAGATGGCGCTCAGCGGGCAGGGCGTGTACCTGGGTATCACCGACAAGGATACCCTGCTGAGCCAGCTGGACGTGCTGCAGAAGAAGGAGGCTCAGCTGCAGACGAAGGAGCTGTTCATCATGGCCGGTGCGTTCCTGCCCGCCGTGCCGTAACAGCGAACGGTGACCACGGCCGCAGCAAAGGAAACCTAAAGAAAATATGCTTTCCACAACACCGCTTCATCACGAAGAAGACAGCAAACAAGAACGAACTAGCCGTTGGCACTGAACTTGATCTCTTGCTTGGCGTTGGTGTAAATAAACTACGTGGAAGTGTGCACACAGAAGCAACGCCCAAGTCCTCTGGTGGTGTTTCCGTGGGCACGTGTGAAAGCATTCTACTGGTCGTTTGGGCAATGCGTGTTTCGTTCCAAGGTCGTTATCTTAGGGTCAGGGTTGACGCCAGGAGGCACTGAAAACAACAAGTGACACCATCCCTACCGTCTGTTTCTTGCCGAGTCAGTCCACCCTGACAAGCATCGTTCTTTTCCCTCGCACCCGCCATGCTCATCGTCCAGATCTGCCATTATATTGTTCATGGCACATAGAAACCTCCAGTTATTTTCGACGACAGCGTTACATATCTTGCTTATTGTTTCCCCTCCTTGTATGTTCTCCTTGCAGCCGTCGCCGGAGCATCGGCATCAGCGGTCCAGGCGGCGTCAATATCCGTAGCGTTTCCACCGGTGGGCGCCCTGCCTACCGGTACGGCGCCGGCCTCAACCGACACCTCGATGGAGGAGCTTACATCCTCCTCCTCCTCCTCCTCGTCGTCGACTACCACAACCACCTCGGCTACCGCCGCAGCCGTCGTTGTGCCCGTCCCAGCGACGGCGGCCGGTAGCAGCGGCGGCGGCGGCGGCGGCGGCGGCATCGCGCACGGTGGTCCCGACAACAGCAGCGGTGAGCACGGCGATGCCACCACCGGTCAAGACGGTCATCACGTCGCCGACGACAGCGATTTCGGCGGGGCTGAAGCTGCTGCTGCTTCTGCTGTGCCTGCTTCTGCTGTGCCTGCTTCTGCTGTGCCTGCTTCTGCTGTGCCTACTTCTGCTGTGCCGGCTGCTGCCGCATCTGCTGCTGTTGCTGCTGCTGTTGCTGCGCCTACTGCTGCTGTGTCGGCTGCTGCTGCACCTGCTGCTGCTGCACCTGCTGCTGCTGCTCCTGCTGCTGCGCCTGCTGCTGCTGCTGCTGCTGCTGCTGCTGCTGCTTCTGCTGTGCATGCTGCCACACCTGCCGAGGTGGGCGGGCAAGAGGTGGTTGTGCCCGATGGTGGTGATATCGGGGTTGCTAGCGGTGCTCCCTCTCCGACCGTGGAGGCAGGAGCAGCACAAGTCGCAGCCACCCTTGAAGGCGGGGGAGTGACGGATGTCACAGAAGGCGTTCTTAACGCAGGCGTTACTCCTGCTGCCGGGTATGTCAGCGGCGGTGGTGGCGATGGTGGTGCGGTGGGAGTGGTGCATGGTGATGTGCAGATAGCGTTGGCCTCCCCTCATCAGCTTCTTGCCCAGGTAAGGAAAGATCAGCACAAGCTCGTGGATTTCCATGCCCAGAGTGATGTTCAAGCTGATATCTCTCCGCACGACGATGCACAAAATGGTGGTATGCCCGTGCTATCTTGTTAAACCGTGGTATAAACGATTTGGACCGTTGCCCATCACCGCTCGTTTTAGCAAGTAATTTAGCGCTTCGATAAAAGGACAGTAGTTGAACTCAGTTTCACAAGAATCAATCGTGATTGCGTCATTGATGTGATGTGCGTGGGCACAAAGAGAATGTCGAAAAGAGCGGGCATTGAAGCGAACACCAGTCATGACAATGTCCCCTTCCGTCGAAGCACGCTTGGAAGCATGGGTTCAATGTTTGGGTCAGGTAGCCTCGTTATTACGACCTATATTGTATATGCATGATGTACGGTACTACCAACATGCAAACCTCTCACGAGCGATTTATTCGCGGGCCACCCCTCCCTTGCGCCCGCCCCTACTCCTCGCCGCTTCAAACAGTCGCCGGCTCCCGAACTGTCCAGCCCAACGCTCCACGTCAACGGCGCCCCCGGGGCAGCAGCCGAGTTGCCCCCGTCCCTCGAAGCGGTCGGCGTCTCTCCCGCTCAGCACCACGCCGCCGCAGCGGGGGGTGCGTCTTCCCCCGCGGAGGGGGCACGCGGAGAAGAATACGCTCTGGCGGGGCGGGGTGCGAGTCTGTTGGGACGTCACGGGGGTGCGATTGGCGCGCATGTGGGCGTTGTCGGGGGTGGGCAAGGGGGGGCCGTGGGGTGCGGGGGACCGTTACGGTCGGTCAAGAGACGGGCGGGAGATGGAGGTGCGTGCAGGGCGGGTGTGGTAAGTCGGGTTTGAAACGAGCCTCTCGAGAGATCGGGCGTTGGCTCGACGCTTGCGGGTGGTTAGAGTAGCCTCTGCGTCGGCGATGAGGTTGATTGATGTACTTCCTGAGGTTCAGGCGAAAGAAAGGGCTGGGCGGATGAGAAGGTGCGGGTTTTATTGGTGCGAGCGAGCAACCGAAATTTCACCATTCGACAAGTAATCTTCGCGCTGACGGGTTGCTGGTCCGTTGGTTTGATTTCGGTTGGTATAGCCGGCAACTTACACGGCTTTACAAACTTGAAAGGATGGAGGGTACACCAGTATCTACAAACGTTTGTTTCGCTGTCACCATCGAGAAGCTGGCCTGCAGCAGGTTGGAGAATCGGCAAGGCCTGTTGACGAAATGCTATTTATGTAGAAAGTTGAGCGTCGACCCAAACTTGACGTCTCTTGCCTTACTTGTGGGCCTATGGTACCCATCCAATCTTCCTCAAATAATCTTGCTCCGACGCAATACTGCTGTGACTGTAGGAGCGGGGATCTCGCAGGCGGCGGGCAGTAACAAGCGTCGTGCAAGAGCCAGCGCCCGGTGTCAATACCCGGGCTGCATGACGGCCCGTACGTTCGGGCGACAGGGAGACCGACAGGCTTCCTTCTGCGCCGTCCACAAGGAAGAAGGTACATACCTATAGTTGATGGCTGTTCCATCCTGCAGTGCGTTGCTTCTGCGGCGTAGTGCGGCGGTTCAAAGTAGAGCGTTACCAGGTATTGTTGTACGTTTCTGGTGACCCGTGTTGCGAAACATCTGGTGTGGGTGTTGGAATGTTTTTGGTGCTCTTGTTTTAGGTACCGCACGTGATCCTTCTCCGACAGACGAGTTATTCAGAATTGCAGTTCTGGGTTTCGCTTTAACTGAGGCGATTGCTCTATTTGCATTAATGGTGGCTTTTCTTGTTCTTTTTGCTCCTTTAAGATACATATCTAGCTCGCTGTTCTTGCTGCACGAGGTACATATACCGTATATGACGCAATATAACACACCCCCTGGAACGATTTTCAAAGCTCGATTACTCAAAAGCAGCAACAGTCGCAGGGCCGAAAACGGCGGCGTTGAAGCCGTCTGGTTGAGCGCTCTCTGAAAACGTACCCTTGCGTCTATGCATCCTCTTCGTCGTGGAGTAATCGAGCTTTGAAAATAGGTCCAGGGTGTGTGTTATCTTGTATCATGTACGGTATGTATCTGTTCGTGCTGGGCCGCTAGCCTATACTGCCCTCGTGAATTCATGTTTGTAACTTGGAATTCTTTTGTGTTATCTGCATTGCGTCTCCCGTACTATACTGTACTGCTGCTGCGTTCTCTGCGTGGTTGCCTCAACACATCCGGTGTGCACTCGTCATGCGGGCCCCTCAGGTATGATCAACATCAAGGGACGGCGTTGCAACTCCCCGGGGTGCCAGCACCGACCTGGCTTCGCGATGCCCGGCGAGAAGAGAGGAAAGTTCTGCGCGTCGCACAGACAGCCAGGGATGATTGACGTCGTCAGGTGACACAACTGATGATGATTTCACGCTAAGTGGTGGCGCTCATATGTGCGTCTAACGTTGATGATGATGTCACGCTAAGTGTTGACGCTGATATTCTGCGTCAAACGTTGATGATGATGGCATGCGAAGGGTTGACGCTGGTATGTGCGTGAAACATTGATGATGTTTTCATGCCAGTGTTGACGCTGATATATGCGTCAAAAACATGTGTGCAAACATATCGAAATAACGACACACGAACGCACGCCCACATGTCAAGCATGGAGAAATACATAGCGCCATCATTTTCTCGGCATCGCAGTAGTGTAGACCACCCACTATCTTGTCGCGACTGTCGGAGCGGTGACAAACATGTTCAAAGCACCTCCGTTACTCTGTTTTTTTGTCACTCGGCTGCTGTTGCTGTCTGATTTCGTTGAGAACCTCTCGTGTAGTACCTATACGGTGACCAGCAAGCGCAACCCCCTCTGCATTCGTGTGCCATGATTTTGCCCCCGGCAGTCGAAAATGTCAGGTCGAGAGCGGAGACTGTGACCGTCAGCCTGTCTACGGATGGCCGGGGGAACGTGCCACCCGCTGCGGGACACACAAGCTCGAACGCACGGTGAGGAAGGCTGTCGCTGACGTGATCCTGGTGGTGGTGGTTCATGTGTGCTTTTAGTGAACAATCGCTCTCGTCTCTTCCCCGTCATGTTCCCATTCCTAACTAAAGAGACTGGGCTAACGAAAAATTGTAGTTAGAGTTCGACGGTCCCAAAGAGCTGAAATGTGAACTTGGTAGATAATTTAGTCTTGGCGCCTGACCATTGCTAAATAGCGGTTGATGATGTTCCAGGTATATCAGCCCCTGCACGCTCTCGTGAAGGTCTTGCTTGGCCAGTGAGTGAGCGCAACTATCCCCGAGAAATGCTCGGAAAACAAACGACTGCTGCTGCCTGCTCTAAGTCGTCAACACCGCACTTGCGTGCCTTGGTCGCGGTGTTAGGCGTGTTTCAACCCTACCGTCAGCTATGCACCAATGTACTGCGCGAACAGTCTGACACATAACGAAATGGGGCATTCTTGGATGTGATGGATATAACGGCTTGCTGTTGCCCTGCCCCCGCCCTTCGTGCAGTCGGGATATAGTTTTCTCGTGATCTTTTGGTCGCTTTTTCCAGCTTTTGTCTCAGGTGACCGACTCCTTTGCTAGCAGAATTACTCTCTAAACAGAATCGCGCAAGACCGAAAATATCCCAGGACGTGTACAACGAGGTGTACTGTAGCCTACCGCAACAGGCGGAGAGAGAGAGAGAGAGAGAGAGAGAGAGAGAGAGAGAGAGAGAGAGAGAGAGAGAGAGATGGCACCCCCCCAAGACCGACTGTCAAAGCTCGATTTGCTCCACCACCAAGGGTTGCGGAAAACGCCCATAAATTCTACACGAAGCCCTGGTCGAGATGTTCCAAAAGTGCCGTTTTTGTTTTCGGTACAATCTAGGTGGCGGAGAAATCGAGGTTTGAGGAATAGGTTTAGGGGGGGGTGCCATATCTCACCATCTTACTCCGAAAGATGAATGCTACCGATTGTACGCACGTATGTACGACACCGGTGATGCTGCAGTGCTGTAACCTTTCACCCCACCGTCTATATTCCCTAGCACGTACAACCTTGCAATCGTCTGGACGCATGTCCTGTAATGACCAGGCGTCTTACACGACACGTCTTTTTTTTTTCGCTTGCGTGTCTCCAGCTGACGACTCTAGCCACAGGGGCGGAGGTGTTGGAGAAGATGTACGACGTCAGAGGGAAGCGTTGCCAAGCGGAGGGTTGCATCAGGCAGCCTGGATTCGGACATCCGGTGAGTAGTGAGCTGGCGCTCTGGAACATGAGTGCATCCCGTACCGAACAGAGGCCGAAACAGTTGTTAATGTGAAGGCATCGCAACAACAACGGCAGCAGGAACGGGCAACTTTTTACCCCGTTCTTGTCAAACTTGAAAATATTGACCTGGGACTGAAACAGTTAGATCTGAGACAGTTCAAGGCGAGGTATGTAGCAGGATCTTACCCTAAATTTATTGCGTTGGTCTGTAGCGAAGTGCTTGATTCAACTCCTTCGAGAAGGCGGTGGGTGTTATGGGCAAACGAGGAAAGCGTTTCCCGCAAGCTACCTTCCGAAAGCTCTGGTATAGCATGCATCTCGGCGATATGTATGTATTGCCGCCGCCGCCCGATTACAGCGCGGAAAATACTTGAGAATGTTCTCGCTGTGCTCCCGCGTCCCAGAAGAACACGAGAAGATCTATAGAAAAGTTGTTCATGCCTGAGTACGAAAACAATGCATGCAACAGGGGGAGTCCTCTACAGGTAGGGGCTGATATTTTCTCGGGGTCTAGTAGGTTTGTGCAGTCAAATGCACGGTGACTGCAACGGCAAGCCACAATTTCACCCAGCAACTGCTGTACTCTCGTCGTGGCTCGTGGTCATATGCAATCCAGCTCAAGGACAAGGGCTCGGTCCGCTGCCACGAGCACAAGCTGCCAGGGATGACCAATGTCCGGAGGCGAAGGGCGCTACAACGCCAAGCTCTTCAGCAGGACGCCGCTGCAAACTATCAAACCCCGAATCACCCTCAGGCGGAGATACTGCACCATCAGCATCAGCAGCTGCTGCAGCAGCAACAGCAACAGCAGCAACAACAACAGCAGCAGCAGCAGCAGCAGCAGCAGCAACACCAACATCAACAACAGCAACAGCAGCAGCAGCAGCAGCAGCAGCAGGCAGGCAACCCTTCAACGCACAGCCAGCCGAATGGTGACGAGCAAAAATCTCCCGCCACAGGCTGCAACGCAGGCGGCCACGCAGAGCTACAGACCGGTGCGGTTGTCCAAGATACTTCGGCCATGGCGGCGACTGCATCGGCAGCGGCCGCGTTCGCAGTAGGAGGAGATCCTACCCCACCTCCTTCTCCGCTTATTCCTATTCCGGTATCTATCCTTCCCCGTCCCGCCGCTACTATCGCCCTGCTTGGAACTCCCGCCGCGGCGTCGGTTGAAGTCGGGGGTTACGCCGCGTTTCCGCCGCCGCCAGCTGACATTTGTGCCGTGGATGGTGCTGCTCCATTGACGCACGGCGGCGTCGTTCTTGCGGGGGGCTGGGTTGGGGAGGGGCAAGGCATGGCTGAAGCGGAGGGTGTGTCGCACGTGCTTTTCATGATGCAGCAGCAGCAGCAGCAGCAGCAGCAGCAGCATGAAGACCAACAGCAGAAACAACATCAACAACCACAACAGCTTGAAACCCAACAGCAACAACAACATTATGGAGACCAACAGCAGGAACAGCAGCAGCAGGAACAGCAGCAGGAGCAGCAGGAGCAGGAGCAGCAGCAACTCCAGGAACTCCCCTTGCCGGCCGAGCAGTACCAAGAGTTGCAACAGCAAGGAGCGCAATCAGAGACTCCTCCCGGCGCGAATCCCCCCTCCGCCCTTGGAATACCCTCAGCCGGCGACCTCGCTCCGGTTGTGTAGACACTTGTTCATCCTAAGCCGGCTACCGCCATGGGGTAGTGCAGACGTTCCCTTTCCGAAGTCCCCGCGTTGCTATACGTCTCAAGACCGACAAACCGTGGTGCTATCTATCGCTCTTAATACAGCCTGCTGCTGTGCGCCATCTGTGGGGGGGAATGTCATCAAGACGAACAGGCGGGAGCACATAGTATTGGCGGCGCACCTGCTAGAGCTGGTTGTTTCCAGCATGTGTTGGCTCGTCCGCGCCAACCGCGTCGTGAAAGTGTTTGATACGTTCGAGCCCCAGCGAAAGGCCTGAGACCGATGGTTTCACACTCGTATTTTTTTTTCTCCTGTACAAATTCGTCTGTGTCCAGAGATTGGAGTGATTTGCATGTGGGGTCTTGTTTCTCCCTATCTTTCTTGTCTTGCACTGGTGATTCCTGCGAGTGTCTGTTTGCCGCTTGCTTTGAAGGCTTTCGCTTTGAAGCCTTTGTTTGTCCGAGGGGCTGATGAAGGCAGCGAGCGCGCGGCCACACGAGAGTACTGAATGTAGGACGCGGGGTTGTTGTGCAGGAAGGAATGAACAATTGCGATTGTAAATGAATAATTGTGGGTGTGAGTGTTTGTGATGGAGCCGGAAAAGCTTTGCCGCAGGTAGGCAGATGGTTGGAATGTATGTTGTTTTGTGCGCCACATGAAGAGACACACCCGCGATTGTACGGGCCCGTTTGGTGGTACAAATGGTGTGGGGAGTTGAGAGTGACGGATGTTGCTCTTATCAACGTTGATACAGTCAACCGCTGTAGTCCACAGGGGGTCTCTCTTGCCAGCGTGCAAGCAGGCCCATAGGAGGAAACAATCTGACAATTAACTGTGATCCGACACTCGGGAACGAAAGCATCATATGGATACAAAGGGTAGACTATTCATCAATCGGCGAGTTGCATGCAGCAGGCTCCTTCACGCTGGCGCTGGAAAACCATCCATGTACCTGCGACATGACCCTCGACTGTTTCCCCACCCGCCAAAGATGATTTTTTTTTGCTCGAATGAAATTTTGCGTCACACACATTGTGCTTCTAGATACTACTAACCTGTTGATCCGCGGTAAAGCTCCGAAACAGCGACATCAACATCTATCTACTGTACACTAGCCTATGAGCGAAGAGACTGTGCCCCATGCTCGGGACATCTCCACCTGCACACTACATCCATCCATTGCCTGAACCTTTTGCTGCCAAAAGCTAGATTTTTCATGATTAGACTACATACAACACGAGCACGTTAGTCGGAGCAGAATAAAATGCGATGAGTGAATAGATGAATACACCATATTGTATGTCGCTAGATAGACAAATCTCGCAGTGAAATTGCTTTGTCTCGACAAGTCTCATATGCATTATAGGTGTCTATTCTAAACTAGATTAAACTTTCATGGCCAAGGCTAAAGCGCTGGTGTGCTGTGAGAAAACGTTAGGAGACGAAGAAATATATCGAGAGAGAACGCAGATAGGGAGCGGCCGCCAAAGTCAAACGAGCCAACGAGAGATGGGTGGGTTACCGTTCGACGAGTCCAGCCGTTTCATGTTGCGGTTCTTTCGGCGTGTGTGATGTCGAACCGGAAGCAGAGGCGGCCAGACTCGTGGGTTCCATCACGTGCGCATGATTGCACATGATGCAATACACGCCAATACTCCGAAGGCCAGAGGAAACACGTAGCAAGTGAACATTGCAGGAAGCTATCGATACAGAAGAGGTGGGTGGTAACTCGTTGGCTAAGTTGTTTTCATTGAACGATGGAGCGCAACGAAGTCGTCTTCGTCCTGGGGGGTCCCGGCTCAGGCAAAGGCACGCATGTGAGATACCGCGCCAATAATGGAGCTCAATGTTGCCGCGTTATGTCCCTCGGTGACTATTTGACCTATGTAGTGTGGCAATTTACAGAGGACACAATATTCGACCCAGTGCTTCGAAGTGAACGAAGAATGAATGAGATCACCTGAGACGAGACATCCAGAAACAAAAACACCATAATTGTGGTGCGGATTCAGCGTTTTCTAGCAGAAGAGAAGTTCAGATGCAAAACGTGTTGGCACATTGGGCCAAGGGGTGACCGTCGTAGTGAACAGAAACAATACATCGCATAGACAGTGGCGAGTCAAGATGAGACCTCGAAATTCATCGCCGCTGGTCTCAAAATGACCCATTAACCTCCCCTCGTGTACGGCCTTGGGATATCTTGCACTGTCATACATGGTGATGAAGTGTGCCAGGATTGCAGCCGAGTTCGGATACACTCATCTTTCCACGGGCGACCTCCTGAGAGAAGAGCAGAAGAAGGAGTCGGAGCTAGCCACCAAAATTGCAGAATGCATCAGGTGATGGCATGGTTCAAATCGGTGAGCCACAAGTATCTGGCTGCGAAAAAAGAGGAGTACGTATTCACGGTGTGGTGCCGCAAGAAGTATGTAGCGGTAAAATATTGAGGAGCCGGTAGATCTATAGTGAGGTTGAAAGCAAGACTTCTTTGTGATTACATCGTCGGCACAACCTTAGTGCAGAATGCCACGGAGTACTGAGCATCACGGAGTATTTACCCCCCGTATCCACATTTCTAGCTCTCCCCACACTACATACACCTTGGTGGTGGCATTGCGCGCTCTCAGAGATGGACAGCTCGTGCCCTCTTCAACCATGGTGGCCCTGTTGAAGGAGGCTATCCTGAACGGCGACTCGAAGCGATTTCTATTGGACGGATTTCCCCGCAGCAAAGACAACCTGGAGGCTTGGTTTGATGCCTTCTCCGATGAAGAGATCCAGGTGTGAAATATGGTTCGAAACGTCATCCGGTATTGTCGAAACAAAGAACGCCATTCACACCTCAGAGTTTCCGTATTCACATCCTTTGTGCCGATCGGAGCTAGACTTATCGCTGCATGGCGCTTGCTTCTCAGAGAACCCATAACGACGAGGTTTTCTTGCCGAGCGCGCACACGTAGGTTCGAGTGTACATACGAAGTTTGGTTCCGTCTGGTCGAATCTACAGTAGATGCACATCAATGGCGAAACAATCTGGTTTGCCCCCAGGACTATGCACTGATTTTAAAACTCTTTAGTGGCACAGTGCCGGTGCCAAGTCGGTGCTCTACGGGGGGCATCGGGAAGAGAATCTAAAATGTGATACACCAGTACCGAAGGGGGCTCCCGGAGTGCATGCAGGGATGCGTTGCCTTCCCCCCCATTCCCGTACGCGTCTCCATCTTGTAGCTCTGAGCAGAGCGTCGGCGTGTGTATTCCGGGAGCCCGAACTGCCAAGGCCACCGCACACAAGTTTTGAACACTTGAGGCGGTCTTCGGGTGTGTCGTACAAGTTGTTGCTTCAATCCTCCCATGAGCGAGGAGGAGCGGGGGGGGGCAAACATGATAACAGCTGCAATGTTGCATCGCAGCGCTCGGTTCCTTACGCGGCCGGGGAGGGGCTTGAGGCCGGGAAACTGGGTTCAGAAGAAGTACGCCAGGTTTCTCGAACTACAGTACATGACCGCTCTCTTGTTCCTGCGCGCGGGGAGTTTCACAGGATACCATTTAGTGAACATGAAATGGCCAACCAGAACCGTTGGACATCACCTCTGCTGTGATTGCTTCGTTTGTTATGCATAGTATGTGCGTTGATCGAATCCGGTTCTCGAGCATGTGACGTCATCTATTCGCTTCTTCGTCGAGCAGGTTTCCTTCACACTGTTCCTACACTGCCCAAAGGAAGAGTTGAAGAAACGCCTCTTGGAGAGAGGGGAGACCTCCGGCCGAGCTGACGACAACGTAGAAACCGTGCTAAAGCGATTCGATACCTTCGAGAAGGAGTCCCTGCCCGTTGTTGAAGAGCTCCGGCGATTGGGCATGGTAAGCAAACACCAAAAAAAAAACTGGCTTCGAGTTTAGACCTCTGCGACTTAGGTCTCCGTTTCGAAACACGAAGTCATCGCCTCCGCCCACCTCTGTGTCTGTTGTGTTGATCTGACCCTGTTCTCCCCTTCGGAACGTAGGTGCGGAAGGTGTCTACTGTACCTGCTCGCGAGCTAGTGGCGCACCGCGTACGTCGATACTTCAAGGGATGCCGGCTGGTCGACCCCGTTGAGAGGACGCTCGCACTCATCAAGCCTGACGCTACGGGAAATACGAACGAGATCCTCAATAGGTGACAACAAGAACACTTGACAGTTGGACTGCCGCCACTTTTCCCTGTCGAAAATAGTAAGGATGACTTATAACTCCAAGCATCGAGATTGGTTGGCGAAGCACGGCCACAACAGAACTACTGTAAGCCCAAAACCAACGCCAGGCAATACACCCGAAAGACTACTCTCGTCTACACAACACCCTATGACGCAAATGTCGTTCGCTACGGATGCACCCGTTAGTCAGGGTTGAACAGGAGGGTTTCGTCGTTGTCGGGAAAATTGAAGGCCGTGTGTGGTCCCAGCAGGACGCCGCGACCTTCTACTCGGAGCACAGTGGAAAGGCCTTCTTCGACACCCTGGTGGACTTCATGAGCAGCGGGCCAATCGTACAGCTCTGTCTGGAGAAGGTAAAGGCCACCAGGCAGGTTGATTTCCTTCCCAGAAAACCAAGATATATCGGCATGAAGAACACTTGGTGGTGATAATTTCGGGTGGCAACCATCGAACAACACCATAGATGTCGGACGACTTCAAGGCTAGGTCACGAAAGACAACAGCAGGATATCTGAGCAGGGTCGATGTTTACCAAGCGGGCCACGGCATTACACCTTTGAAAAAGTCCGAAACACCTCCCCGAACACCCCCACCATCCCGACGACGTCCTATCTGCGTCAGGTGGGCGCGATTAAGGCCTGGAGAGAGCTGGCGGGACCAACCAACTCAACCGACGCCAAAACCTTGGAACCGTCGAGCATCAGGTGAAGGCCTCGGCGTAGGGCCTTGGAGCATTCTCGTGTCGCCTGCTGGTGCCGTCGTCGATATCGCGGCTGCTTCCGTCGTCACGAACGTCATCTTGCTATTTGTAACCGTGATCGACCTTTCACACCTTTCTTCCTAACACCTCCTTTTTCCGTCGTGCTGACCTATGCCAAAGGCAGACGACCACTGCCACACTGATCTTCATCTTTTTGTGCACCACCCGAGTTATACATAAGAAATGCAAAACAAAGGGCTTCGAAAAGGCTACTGTTGCAGTTTTGGACACACAGAACAAAATGCCCGGAAGATCTTCGAAAACGTCGCTCCAACCAATAACAATTCCGCATTCTCAGTGATTCGAGATGCCTATCCACGCTGAATGTAAGGATTGCCACCCCGATACCAAGGAAACGTCCCGCTTGGTTCAGCGGATAGCTTGTCGTGGAAGTCAAACTTAAAGTACCCAAAATCCCCACAAATTCGTTTCAGCATCGTCGATCGGTTTGCACACCTCCCTCGTCATAACGTAGAAAATCTGTTTACTACATGCACATCGGGCTTACCTGCATTTACTGAGTTCTTTGTCCCTGCAACCAAACCTACGCAGAGCACTATACGGTACGTGCGGCACCAAGAACGCCGTTCACGGAAGTGACAGCTTCGCGTCCGCTCTACGAGAAATCAACTTCTGCTTCGACCAAGCGGGGGAGGCCGCTGCTGTGGTTGCGCCGGCGGAAGAAACGGCCCCGGCAGGCGGAGCGGAGCAAAATATCAACGGAAGGGACGGCAGTGTTGACGGCGGTTACAATGAAGACGGTTTCGCCAAGGAGGAGAGGACTCTAGCTCTTCTCAAGCCTGGGATTTCAGAGCTGCACTCAGGCGAGGAACGCCTGGCGAAACACTCATTGAAATCACGAAACAAATTCGGCCATGAAGAACGCAGCAGCTGCACTTAACGCCAACGTTGTTCTTCAGTTTGTTCCTCTGGTGCTGACCCATCAGAGGAATACTCACTGCCTTCAACTACTTTCATAGCGTGTTCTGCGTGTCGTTGGGATTGTGGGCCGATCGGTCGGTTGGTTTGTTCCATGTTTGTTTCGAGCAGCGGAACACAGCCGACTCGGGCCATGGCTAGCGGGTCATGAAGCTTTTCAAAACAAAACAGTTGTACTGTTTCATTATGTTTTGCCACTTTGTAAGCCAAGCTTCGGGGGATTACGTTTTGGGTTTGAGGGTTAGGGTTAGGGTTAGGGTTAGGGTATTCACCTTGTTGTTCCTCAGCTTGAAGACAGGCCCAAACGCATATGGTCCCCGCCGGAACGACCTCAACACGTTCAAACCTCAACCTTCGAGCACTTGTTTCCACGGAGGTATTCCATGAAACACCCACACTGGTGTTATTGCCGAGTCTAAGCTCCGAGGGCGTATTGTCCCCGCCCTGACCTCTCCCTTCAACGTGCCATTGGGTCCCGTGCTTGTAACACAGATGACATTTTGAGCGTGCTGGCGTATCGGGGATTCGTAGTGCTCAAGACAGCCACAAGGGTAAGTGGGGGCCACCATCACATGGGGATTCATCTCCATTGCATCGATCGACCTATTCCACATTCTTGGTTCTAGAATAGCCCCCACGACCATCACGACACTTACAGCTATGGCTGCTTCGATCCACCGAAGGTAATGGAGGAGTCGGAGGCCCGCAGCTTCTACCAGGAGTACTCTTCCGAGACGTGGTTCAAGGACGCGTGTACCTCGATGGCTGAGCGTGGAGAAACGACCGCAATTTGCATGTCCGGAGTCAAAGGGGTGGCATCTTTGCAGTCCCTGGCCGGACCGGGTGATCCGAAGGAAGTGAGTAATTGGGGGGTTTGTGCCGGTCTATTGTAATGTTTTTCTATTTGCGGTAGTGAAAACAGTTTGATTTGTTGTCATGTGGGTTCTGCTGTTTTTGGTTACACAACGAGACGACGCTGAATCCTACAGGTTCTTGCGCAGGATCTCCTGATGAGGCATTGCCGTCGCCTTCAGTCGGCCGGTATCTCGTGCAGCACCATCTGTCGAGAACAAGCATTCTAGCGACGACATTTTTTTCTGTCGGTGTGTTTGATGCGAAAGGATCTCATCGGGGGGGGGGGGGGGGTACTCATAGTCGTGCATGCTGTAGTCGTTAGACCATTGACCTCGCATCCCTACAAAGCCGGGACGGAGCACGCCGGGTTCTCACCGGACCAGGCTCTCACATCACCAAGCGCGAAGCGCCGTGAGGTATTTGGCGAGTCGCATGAAGGGTGAGCTGCATCCTGCTAAGGGTGTTCGGCATCTTGTGCTTACTTCCTTGCGTACGGATGACAGCTACGTATGACTTAATTTATTTTCTGGTGCTTTCACTTCCAGAGACAGTTGTAAGCACTGTGTAACTGCCTCGAGGAAGCTTGACCATTTTAACACAACGTGGTGAAATCATCCCCCGTTGCGCGGAGTGAGATTTCTCGACCCCGAAAAACATGATC